ACAAAAGTGCTCTTCTCAATTTCTAAAATAGAAATAGCTTTATTATAACTGGAGCTCAAATTCTAGAATTATTGCCAGAAAAATGAATGGTCGTTCGTCTGCTTGAAACCAAGACTGATGAATTTACGGGGCTAGCAGACGGTAGAGCAAAAGTAAAACAGTCCAGTCCCACCTCTGCGCGACAGCTGATGCTCTTTGAGATGCGCCGTCATAAAAATTTGAGAAGCTTTCATCGATGTCTAAATATAGATCGATCTAGCACGCAAAATAAATAAATTTAACCGCTCGTAAAAAAAAAAAACGGGCACTTCAAAGAAACACGACAAGTGTGTTGCCAGTTTTCGTGAATAAACGCGGCACGATTTTTGTTTACGTTCCGTGAAAATAATTCGTCATTCCAGTTCCTATCGCCTCCTGTCCCTGGGGCAATTTTTATTTTATTTCATACCACGGTGATTAGTGATAAAAAACGTTAACCATAACTGCCATTAGAAACATGGACTTAAACTGGTGCATCCAATCCAGAGCTGTCACTGGTGGTCGTAATTTACGTCCCCAACCGTCACTTATTTACCCTGGTCGGTACACCTGACTGATGTTTATTGGGGATGGGCCCGTCCCCGGGATGATTCCACCAGATACCATCACCAGCTGTCAAGATGGGGCAGGGGCTGGCGTAAAAACTGTACGCGGAAGTTCTAAATTTAACAGGTCCTTTTTTAATTGTCTTGAGTCGTTCTTTTATATCGTCTTTTAGATTTGAAAAATAGCTTTCTGTCAAAAACACACTGAATACTGAAAATAAATCTATAATTATTTCAGTAATGTTCGCTGAAAAAAATATTTTTATAATCATAAATGGGTTAATAAAAAAAATAATGATTGGATGATTTTTCGAAAATAATTTACCAAAAGTCAGAATGGTTTAATCACTCCGTGAAAAAAATAATTAGTTATTTGTTCGACTTTCGGTTTCTCAGCGAAGTGACACTTTGTGCAAACAAAATTTTGTAGAAACTAATTATTGCTAAGGGGGTCATCGATAAATGACGTCATGCTTTTTGGACTTTTTTTTATCTCTCCCCTCCGTCACACATCGTCACAAAAAGCCAGACCCCCGCCCTTAAATGACGTCACACCTCAGCCAATAACACCCCTCAAAATTGCGGTTGAATTTTGCTTAAAGCAGCGAAATTTTTCCCAAATCTTTTATGGACTCTGTCAACATAGAGTATTTTAATAAATTCCTATTAGGCCTACAATTTATTAAAACAGTTTTCTAAAACGCGAAATAACGGTTAAACTTCGTTTTCTAGCATTGCTTTTTTAGAACCCCCCCCCCCCCCACCCTCATCACGCACCATCACAAAATTACGGACCCCCTCCCCCTTACAAGTGTATCGTCATTTATCGACGACTCCTAAGGTCTAGCTGATGTCCAGCTAAAAGTGCCCCCCACCCCTCCTAAGTAAAATGTGTAAATTGTTCTGGTACCTTAAACTTATAACCACCATAAATTAAACCAGCAAACAAAGTGTCCATGCTAGTATAGAAAACCGCTGTTTACCTTCAGCCAACCGAAGTCAAAATAATACAATTGCTGCTTCAGTCAAATCTTCTTAAAAGAGAAATATTTAATCGTTTCCAAAGATTTAAAAAGAACTGTGTTTTACAGAATACTACGAGAATTACTTTGTAGAATACCGATAACTCTAGATTCATTTGTGTTGCGTTAACGAACCTGAAAGGTCAGCCCCCCTCCCCCCCCCCCAAGCTAACTAGCGCCCCTCACAGCTGCGCGAAACTTTTTTTTTACGATCGCAGATATTATCTTCAGCTGCTGAAGTTTACAATGTGACCGGAAGCAATAAAAACTCCTCAACATTTAAATGCTAATTCGCCTTTTTCTTATCAGGCTTTGAAGCTAACTAGAGAAGACAATAACAATAAAGCTGGCTGTTGCCCCACTTGATTCACACATTTTTAATCAATGGGAGCAGTCATAAAACTTACCAATTAATTTCTTTCAGCCGCTTCAAATAGATTATTGATGCGTGAAGCAGTAGAATTTTTAAAAGAAACCATACTACAGTCTAGTTCTAAGTTTGCTGGCACAGCCTACAGACAACATTAATCCATCTATACCTACAAAACAGGATATATATATATATATATATATATATATATATATATATATATATATATATATATATATATATATATATATAACGACCAATAGAATAGATGCAGAGCACAATGCTTTTGTTTCTTGCCCTCCACATATGAAGGGATGGTTTGGTCAACACACAACTAGGCACAGCAGCCTTTATCATCCCTAATGTTAGTCAGGTACCAATTATAGCTGAGTGGACTCAGGAACGTCCTGCATTCTCAAGGTCTTATCGAGATCCGAACTTGAACCCTTCGGGCAAGTAGTCGAGCGCTCTATCGCCCTACCATCCTTATATAACTCTGTATAAATATATAATTACATGTATACAGGGGCTCTAGTTCTGTCCGCGCCTCTAGCATAAACATATTTTGTGTCATGTATGATATTTTAAAAATTATTAATCGAACATGTTTTACTAATGTATTAGCATAATGTATTAGCATATCAATAATATGTTCAATCGTATTTTATAAATGATCAGAGATTGTCTGATCTTTATAACAAATCTTGGACTGCGTATTCAGCTCCGTGATTTCTTCAAGAGATTTTACTCCGGGAATGTTGGGCACTTAAAGCTTTCGGGTGAGGGGGTTCTATATAAATATTTCGTTCGAAAGGGGGTGGATGGAAGTTCCTTCGTGCCTTTCCATAGAGATGCCTGATAAAAATTCTGTTAATCACCACAAGAAAAATATTATTTGTGATTATTAGCCATGTAAGTAAACTAAATATGCGTTTATTAGACCCAGCGATTTTTCAATGGAGAAATTTTTTATTTATAAACCGAGAAAAGGATGCCCACACTTTCATGCTTACATACATGATTTTACTAAAACGGAATAACGAGATGAAACCAAGTATATTATTACAATTTTAAATATTCTTTAAAATGGTGTTTAAAATATGCATTATTTAATTAAATTCAGGACTGCGAAAAGAATGTAAAAAAAAAGGTAAAACTGGTTCGTCGGTGACTTGAATTAAAAACAACGAAACCGTCGCTAAATAAAGTAGATCTGGTACTTAAGTTAATTAAACTCAAGAACACGGACACTATTTAAAAAAATGACGAACATATTTCAAATTATATCATTTTAATCAAAAGCTTTTAGATTTACTATCAAATAGCCCTTGTCGAGATTCGCGACTGATTAGCGTTTTACTGACATGAACTAAACGAAAAGTAAAATCCGCTTTCAACAAATCCATGCCTTGATGCAAAAGACTTTCAACAGGACTGGTGCTAGGTCGACGTACTAAGTGATGCTATCTCAAACAGCGGCTTTTTCATTGTAGCCGTAGGGAATTATTCTTCTTGTAGCTATCTGTCAAAGAGGCATAAAAAATGGTCAGAGGTTAAGTAGGTGCAGAAGTGGCCAGGTGAGAGGGTCGACGAAAGGTGAAAACAAATTTTCAGGTCAAATTTACAAAGCGTTCAAGTTTGCTCGATAAGACAGATTGATGTGTTAGAAGCTTTATTTGGGTGTTTTGATAGGTTGTGTGTTTTGAGATTTAAAGGGAAATTACTATTTGATGCGTAATACTCGTTTTTTTTGTTCAAGTTTAATGTTGATTTAATTTTCAATGGAAGATCTCGCAATTGCTTAATGTTTAATTTTCTTTGTTCGTTCAAGGTTACCTTTTTAGTCTGTGCATTTCTTCTATTTCATCTAGTCTTTTCATTTCCTTGAATACATATTTTTTTTTAAAAAAAACTGAAACTTTTATTGGATAAGAGGGTGATATAAGGGTGAACTTACAGGTGTTTAAAGCTACAAGCTGATACCTTTTTTGTTACACTGTGCACAGCAGCCATTTATCTACAACCGGAGCCTGTTACCAGGGTTATTCGCTAAGAACTAAAGCTGGTAATCCAGGTAGACATGCGTCATGGTTTGGTCTGATCTGTGATGAACAATGGCAGTATGGTACCTTCTAACGGAAAAGTGTCTTTTGCCCACCCCGCCCCGCACACCATCTCTAATGACGGGAGTCACGTGTCATGCCGATCTCCGTCTAGCTATGTCATAGAAGTGGCGAACAACTGAAAAACACTTGAAATTTATTCTCTCCCTTTCTTTCTCTCCCCCCCCCCCCCTGTTTGTAGCTAACACTATGATATAAATCACTGACAACTGACAACTACTTCTCTCCCCCCACCTAGGTTGTATCAGACACTATCATATAAACCACTGACAACTGACACCCCCCCCCCAGGTTGTTATTGACACTATCATGTAAACCACTGACAACTGACAACCACTCCCCCCCCCAGGTTGTATCTGACACTATCATGTAAACCACTGGCAACTGACAACTACTTCTCTCCCCCCCACCTAGGTTGTATCAGACACTATCATATAAACCACTGACAACTGACACCCCCCCCCCCCAGGTTGTTATTGACACTATCATGTAAACTACTGAAAACTGACAACTGACAACCACCCCCCCCCCAGGTTGTATCTGACACTATCATGTAAACCACTGTCAACTGACAACCACTGACAACTGACAACCCCCCCCCCCCCCCCCACCCCCAGGTTGTTATTGACACTATCATGTAAACTACTGACAACTGACAACCACTTCCCCCCCCCCAGGTTGTATCTGAAACTATCATGTAAACCACTGTCAACTGACAACCACACCCCATGTTGTTATTGACACTATCATGTAAACCACTGACAACCACTGACAACCACTGACAACCACTGACAACCACTGACAACCACTGACAACCACTGACAACCACTGACAACCACTGACAACCACTGACAACCACTGACAACCACTGACAACCACTGACAACCACTTCTCTCCCCAGGTTGTTGCTGACAGTATCACCAGGTCCTGTAAGTGCCACGGCGTGTCAGGGTCCTGCTCCATCATGACGTGCTGGAGGGCCCTGCCTAGCTTCGACACCATCGGGGCCCGGCTCAAGGACAGATACGCCATTGCTGTCGAGGTAACCACCTTTTTACTCTAACCCTAACTCTAACCCTAACCCTAAACCTAACCCATTGCTGTCGAGGTAACCACCTTTTTACTCTAACCCTAACTCTAACCCTAACTCTAACCCTAACCCTAGCCCATTGCTGTCGAGGTAACCACCTTTTTACTCTAACCCTAACTCTAACCCTAACTCTAACCCTAACCCTAGCCCATTGCTGTCGAGGTAACCACCTTTTTACTCTAACCCTAACTCTAACCCTAACTCTAACCCTAACCCTAGCCCATTGCTGTCGAGGTAACCACCTTTTTACTCTAACCCTAACTCTAACCCTAACTCTAACCCTAACCCTAGCCCATTGCTGTCGAGGTAACCACCTTTTTACTCTAACCCTAACTCTAACCCTAACTCTAACCCTAACCCTAACTCTAACCCTAACTCTAACCCTAACCCTAGCCAATTGCTGTCGAGGTAACCACCTTTTTACTCTAACCCTAACTCTAACCCTAACCTATTGCTGTGGGGGTATTCACACCACCTTTTTACTCTAACCCTAACTTTAGCCCTAACTCTAACCTATTGCTGTGGAGGTAACCACCTTTTTACTCTAACCCTAACTCTAGCCCTAACTCTAACCTATTGATGTGGAGGTAACCACCTTTTTACTCTAACCCTAACCCTAGCCCTAACCTATTGCTGTGGAGGTAACCACCTTTTTACTCTAACCCTAACTCTAGCCCTAACCCTAACCCTAGCCCATTACTGTCGAGGTAACCACCTTTTTACTCTAACCCTAACCTAACCCAACTCTAACCCTAGCCCTAATTCTAACCATAACCCTAGCCCTAACTCTAACCCTAGCCCTAACCCTAACGGTAACCCTAGCCCTAACTCTAACCCTAGCCCTAACCCTAACGTTAACCCTAGCCCTAGCCCTAACTCTAACCCTAGCCCTAACTCTAACCCTAACTCTAACCCTAACCCTAACCCTAACCCTAGCCCTAACCCTAACTCTAACCCTAACCCTAACTATAACTCTAACTCTAACCCTAACCCTAACCGCTCGATGACACCGCGTTACTTGATGGACTCTCGCAAAACGGATGTTTGAAGAATTTTATTATTTCAGACATTCTTTTGACTGCTAACAACAAAGTTCTTTTATTCTCCTTTCTTCCCCTCATCCAACTTTCAACAGAAAATAGTAAAGTACCCTCGAAATTGACACCCCCTTTGTGCAGATGAAATACCGTGCGTCTATTTTGGCCTTAGCATATGTAAACATATCCAGCTGTTTTTGTATTCGCCAATATGAATCAGGTACAAAATAGTGCTGGGTTGCCTCTGAAAGAAGAAGTAATACATTTTAGGGACCAATTCCTTTACTATACTATTTTATTTTTAAGTATAGAAAGAAACATGCTTTATGGGTTTGTAACGTTTACCTATCTACCAGCCAGATAGATGGTGAACGTCCCCGGATTCTTTTTTCGGGGTTATATGCAAATGACTTAAAGCCTAGATGAATGAACGCTAACCCAACAACACACTAGGGCTCGATTTCGATGTCTAGGGAAAACTAGTGATACTATTGAAGATAACAACTCATTCAATCTGCATACAACCTTTAATAAGCGAACACAGTTGTGGCAGAACACTAGGTTAAACGAGATAAAATATTTAATTTAGAAAATAACAAAACCCAACTTACAAAGCGTAAGAAAAAATACTATCACAGATTTGAACACTGTATAAAAAATAGCCACAGGTCACACAACCCTGCTATAGCTTCAAGAATCACTTGGCGACAAGTAATATTATACTAGAAGACTAAAACAACTTAAGAAAGCTTAGCACACTCAGGACTTAAGTTCTCTCACGTTCAAATGGTCAGAATCTATTGCCGGACAAAATAGACGGCATGGTCAAGATGGACTGCTTGATCAAGGTGGACTGCCTCGTGTCGCCTGTGGGCGATCTTGTTAAAGACTTAGGCGACAGGGGAGGTTATCCTCAACTCATGTGGCCATTGGTTGGGGGGTGGTCAGCTGATCTGAATTAATCAATCAGATCTTGATGGAAAATTTCCACGTCTTAGACACTCTTAATAAGACAGTGGAAAAACCCCGGTAGTTGCACCATCACTCCATATATGGTATTAACACAATGTCAAAATAAAACATTACTGGAACTAAGTAGGTCACATCCCCTCCCTTTTTGGAAGTGACAGATAGGTTCCACAAAAACATACATAATGAACCAATCTGGCAATGAAATAAAAAAAATGTTTTACAAATGTAGCCAATCGAAATCTTAATACCAGATGAAAATATCCCTGAACATAAAAGGGAAGTAACTCAAACTTTTACAATTCGTGAAAGGGGAGTAACCCTTCAAGAAATCATTATACATCAAAAGCCCTCAAAAAAAAAAAGGTATTACAATATTTCCATGTGGATATTAAAAGTGGTAAACCCGCCAGGGTAAAACCTTTATTTCAATGACTAGCTACAATATCAACTGAGTCATATGAGACATATTATCATAAAAGATTACATATAATCGAAAACCACCTTTAATTAAGGTTCACCTGAAAATAAACAAAATTTTCAACAGGATGGGAATTTTGAAAAATTCAAAACTCATACCACTCATTTTCATGTGAGTGTCACCCAAACACAACACTTGTGTATGGTCCTAATGAACCACAAAACATGTCACATGATCAATGTGTGCAATAAGATTTTACATCCTTGACAAACAATCAGCCACAACATTATCACTACCCCTAATGTGTGAAATTTCCAGATTAAAATTTTGGAAATATAAACACCATCTCAATATTCTTTGATTTGTGTGTCCTAACTTAGAGGTAAATTTCAGGGGATCATGGTCAGAAAACACTCTGACTGGATTGGTTGAAGAAGAGACATAGACTTCAAAAGTATTAGAAAATACAACTATATCATCTATGTAGGCCTCACATTGGTCTATGTCAGCAATGACAGAGTTAATGACCCGCTGGAAAGTTTGACCAGCATTTCGCATACCAAAGGGCATACGTTTGTATCTATAAAAACCATTAGGGGTTACAAAAGCAGATATTTCTTTTGCACGGTCAGATAAGGGGATTTGCCAGTATCCTGAAAGTAAATCAATTTTGGAAATTATCTTAGCTTGACCAACTTTATCAATAACGTCTTCTATTCGAGGTAATGGATAGGAATCAGCTTTGGTGAGCGCATTTACCTTCCTAAAGTCGGTCACAAACCTGAAAGATCCACCGTCTTTCGGGACTAAGAGACATGGGGAACTCCAGTTGCTGAAACTGGGCTCAATGATATCATTCTTAAGCATATAATCAATTTCATCTTTTATCAAAGCAGCTTTTTCCGGGTTAACTCTATAGGGGTGTTGTTTGATGGGTTTTGCGTCACCTACGTCTACATCATGAGGTGGGACCTTCGCTTCTTTGGGGACATCCCCAAAGATAGAGGGAAATGTCTCAAATAACTGAGACAATTTATGGCTTTCCTCTGTGGACAAATGCATAAGGTGGTCATTTAGATGATCTAAAAAGGAAGAATTTACCAATTTTGGGGGTTTCAATTTATCATGTATCACATCATCAGAAACATTTGAACATACAGGTAAAGTAATTTTAGCTGTGGAATGAAAATTGTTACAATTATCATAATACTTTTTCAGTGAGTTAACATGATACACTGTCTGTTTCCTTCTTCTGTCGGGCGTATTGACAACATAGTTCAAATCACTTAATTTTGAATGCACAGTAAAGGGTCCACAATATCTCAAGGATAACGCATTGTTCAGATTAGGCACTAGCACAAGAACTTTGTCGCCTGGATTGAATGTTCGTTTGCGAGAACTCTTATCATACAGTCCTTTCATTCTCACTTGGGCCTTTCTTAAGTTCTTGTGAGCCATTTCGCACACGGCTTTCAGTCGAACGTGAAAATCGTCAAAGTTTTCCACTGGATGATCACTGGTACCTGTCCATCGTTCGTGGATCAGCTTCAGGGGACCACGGACAGAATGTCCAAACACAAGTTGAAAAGGAGAGTAGCCTAAAGAGTCCTGGACACAGTCCCTCGCGGCGAAAATAATCCAAGGAACAGTCTCATCCCATTGGGTGTTACTTTTAGCGAATGTTCTTAGCATGGTTTTGAGGGTTTGGTGGAACCTCTCAAGTACGCCTTGAGACTGAGGGTGGTAGGCTGAGCTGGTGATGTGGGTAACGCCTAGCTTGGCTAGCGCTTCCTGAAAATGGTGACTGGTGAAGTTGCTGCCTTGATCTGTTTGAACGATTCTAGGTAATCCAAAGGTAGTGAAGAACCGGGTCATGGCTCTGACTACAGTCTTTGCCTTAATGTTCCGTAAGGGGAACGCCTCGGGAAAACGGGTACTTGAACACATAAAGGTAAGTAGGTACTCGTTGCCCGCCTTGGTTTTAGGCAAGGGACCTACACAGTCCATGACGATTTTAGAAAAGGGTTCTTCTAATACAGGAATCGGACTCAAAGGGGCCTTAGGAATTTTCTGGTTCGGCTTTCCGGCCAACTGACAGTTCGTGCAACTTTTGCAGTAACGCGACACATCATTTCTCATTTTGGGCCAAAAGAACAGTTCTTTGATCTTCGCCGTCGTTTTAGTGACTCCCGGGTGCGCTGACATTGGATGGTCATGTGCCAGTCTCAGTATTTCATGCCGAAAAGGTGGAGGGACCCACAGCTGGTTTTTACCCAACCATGGTTCGGCAGGTGAGGCATCCACTGGTACAGAGCGACGAAAGAAGAGGCCGTTCTCGGAGAAATACTCCCCATCGTCAGATGAGAGAGATTTTTCGACCATTGCTTTGAGTTCCGCGTCGACTTGTTGAGCTTTAATGATGTCTTCCTGAGATATCCTCAGGGGTAAGCCCAGGCTTGTGTTTTCTGGAAGCATAGACTCCAGTTTGGGAGTGGAATTTCTTGACGATGATGGTAGGTGTGGTTCAGACGTTGTGTCAGCCAATTGTTTGGTCTGGCTTCTTGTCACCACACATGCAGGATACAGTTCATTATCATTATCTGGAACTGTTGACAAGGGGTTTGGAACCGTACAGGGGTATACTTTGCGTCCCGCAAGGTCATTCCCTAGAAGTAGGTGTACTCCTGGGACAGGAATACTATCTATCACACCTAAAATGACTTCACCTTCGACGAGATGATGTTTCAGGGCAAACTTGTGTAGAGGGACGACAGTAGATTTTGTCCCCACTCCCTGGATAATGGAAATATTTCCGGTGTTCGTCTCTGGTGTAATGTCCATTGAACTTTTCAAAAGAAGTGATTGTGACGCTCCTGTGTCTCTTAGGACGGTGATATTCTGCTGAGACGACGGATCACCTGGTTTGCTAATGATAGCTTCTGTAATGAAAGATGAAAAGTCAACCTTTCTCGATCCCTCGAGATCGGTAGACTCGGAAGAAACTGGATGGTGGCGTGAACAATCAAAATGTGACTGCACATAATGTTTGGAGACTTGACTGCCTTCTTGCGGACACTTAGGGTTAGCGTCCCTTAGAATTCTAGAGTTCATAGTTGAACTGGCTGCTTGAGGGGATAGAGCATAGTGCGCAGAAGTACGCACCACCTCTCTGTTATATTGACGACGTTTGTAACAGTCCTTGACAAGATGACCAGGTCTTTTGCAGAACTGGCATACTGCTCGACGATTGAGAGTTAATCTTGATTTCTCTCTGGACTGTAATGCCTTCACGTGTTGGCCAACAGGAGGATTGCTGCCAAAAAGGGGAAGCACGGGGTTGAGGCGGTTTCCTGACACTGGTGGTTTCTTGTGCACCAACATATATGTGTCAGCCGACTCAGCAGCCTTCTGGGTGTCCATTATCTTGTTATCCAGTATGTGAAGTCGTATGTCTTCAGGCAGGGACGTTAGGAATTCTTCCCTTAGGATAAGTGACCTGAGTTTCTCAAACTCAGAAACTTCCTCAGAGTGTAGCCACCTTGAGAATATTTTCTCCTTTTCAAAGAGAAATTCCACATATGATTGAGTGGGTAACTTGCGGAGTGCTCGGAATTTCATCCGATAGGCCTCGGGCGTCAGTTCGTAGGCCTTCAAAATGGCAGTCTTGACCAAACTATAGTTATTTTGAACGTCGTGAGAGAGTGCCTGGTATGTTTTTGCAGCTTTCCCTGTAAGGACCGAGCTCAATAAAGCAGTAATGGAAGTTTCGGGCCATTCACATGTCTTCGCTAAACTCTCAAATGAGTTAAAGAAAACGACCAAATCTGTTTCATCAAATTTAGGAACTAATTTCCCAAATTTGGCAATCACTTGCCCCACCGACAACTTTTTTGGATCTACCAGAGAAGTAACATCACTAACTTGACCAAACTCTAATTCCAACCTCCTCTTATCTAAAGCAATTTTAGCCTCTAACTCCTTTTCTTTTAATAAAAACTCCTTCTCTTCTAGAGCAACCTTCTCCTTCTCTAAAGCAATTTTAGCTTCTAATTCTACCTTCTCTAGAGGTTTCTCCTCACGGAGTAACACACCAGCCAACAAACTTTCATCAAATACCCCTTCATTAATAAAATGAACAACAATTTTATCTCTCAACACCTCTGATTTCTGCGTAACAGAATACTCCAATTTCAATTCCTTAACAACACTAATCAAAACTTTTCTACTCAACTTTTCTACCTCCTCAAAAGTGGGATTAGCCAAAAAAGATTCCATAACACTAACTTTCAAAATCAAAACAAGCCTAGATTCTCTAAATTAACACGGAGCGTTGGGCCGTGTACTTGACCTCTTATCGTGACACGTCTGGCTTTTGACCTAGATAACTCTATGCTTGCGCGCGTTGTAATAACACGGCGCCACTGGATAGAAAAACAACTAAATCAAACTAAACTTAGTGTTTAACTGATATAACCAACAACTGGAACGACAGATTAAATCCCGGACGAGCCCCCACTTTGTAACGTTTACCTATCTACCAGCCAGATAGATGGTGAACGTCCCCGGATTCTTTTTTCGGGGTTATATGTAAATGACTTAAAGCCTAGATGAATGAACGCTAACCCAACAACACACTAGGGCTCGATTTCGATGTCTAGGGAAAACTAGTGATACTATTGAAGATAACAACTCATTCAATCTGCATACAACCTTTAATAAGCGAACACAGTTGTGGCAGAACACTAGGTTAAACGAGATAAAATATTTAATTTAGAAAATAACAAAACCCAACTTACAAAGCGTAAGAAAAAATACTATCACAGATTTGAACACTGTATAAAAAATAGCCACAGGTCACACAACCCTGCTATAGCTTCAAGAATCACTTGGCGACAAGTAATATTATACTAGAAGACTAAAACAACTTAAGAAAGCTTAGCACACTCAGGACTTAAGTTCTCTCACGTTCAAATGGTCAGAATCTATTGCCGGACAAAATAGACGGCATGGTCAAGATGGACTGCTTGATCAAGGTGGACTGCCTCGTGTCGCCTGTGGGCGATCTTGTTAAAGACTTAGGCGACAGGGGAGGTTATCCTCAACTCATGTGGCCATTGGTTGGGGGGTGGTCAGCTGATCTGAATTAATCAATCAGATCTTGATGGAAAATTTCCACGTCTTAGACACTCTTAATAAGACAGTGGAAAAACCCCGGTAGTTGCACCATCACTCCATATATGGTATTAACACAATGTCAAAATAAAACATTACTGGAACTAAGTCGGTCACAGGTTTATATTCAGTGCTTTTAAAATCTGTTGATAATATAGATTTTTATTACTTGTTTTGTTTTATGCTTTTAGTATCTAGGAACTGTAAAATATAATAGGTCGACATTTCAGTTTCATAAGCACTTCGTTCGTTGAAGTCGACATCCCACACGCTCAAAGTGTTTGTTTTAAAACACGACCAGCAGATTGCGATTAATTAACTGTAATCATCAATTATCTTCCTCTAATTAGCACTCATTGTCGGCCCTAGCCATGCAACCATGGAAACCACAAACCACATGTACAGAGTTATCATTACTACCTAATCTAGTTATTTCCCCTTTTATTTATTGCAACAAAGTAAAGTATAGTACTATTATTAGAAATCTTGAAATTGAACATGATTGCAATCCATTGCTTTCCCTGACAGGTGAAGAGGAAGAGGAAGAAGAAAGAGAAGGTTCTGGTGCCTGTCAACAACGTGAAGACATCTTTCAAGGACGACGAGTTGGTTTACTACGAGAAGAGTCCAGATTACTGCAGTCCAGATGAGAAGACGGGGTCAGTGGGTACTGTTGGGAGGTGAGTACTTGGTGGGATTTTTAGAGGGAGGTGAGTACTTGGTGGGATTTTTAGTGGGAGGTGAGTACGTTGGATTTTTAGTGGGAGGGGAGTACTTGGTGGGATTGTAAGAGGGAGGTGAGTACTTGGTGGGATTTTTAGTGGGAGGTGAGTACTTGGTGGGATTTTTAGAGGGAGGTGAGTACTTGGTGGGATTTTTAGTGGGAGGTGAGTACTTGGTGGGATTTTTAGAGGGAGGTGAGTACTTGGTGGGATTTTTAGAGGGAGGTGAGTACTTGGTGGGATTTTTAGTGGGAGGTGAGTACTTGGTGGGATTTTTAGAGGGAGGTGAGTACTTGGTGGGATTTTTAGTGGGAGGTGAGTACTTGGTGGGATTTTTAGAGGGAGGTGAGTACTTGGTGGGATTTTTAGTGGGAGGTGAGTACTTGGTGGGATTTTTAGTGGGAGGTGAGTACTTGGTGGGATTTTTAGTGGGAGGTGAGTACTTGGTTTAATTTGTAGAGGGAGGTGAGTACTTGGTGGGATTTTTAGTGGGAGGTGAGTACTTGGTGGGATTTTTAGTGGGAGGTGAGTACTTGGTGGGATTTTTAGAGGGAGGTGAGTACTTGGTGGGATTTTTAGAGGGAGGTGAGTACTTGGTGGGATTTTTAGAGGGAGGTGAGTACTTGGTGGGATTTTTAGTGGGAGTTGAGTACTTGGTGGGATTTTTAGTGGGAGGTGAGTACTTGGTGGGATTTTTAGTGGGAGGTGAGTACTTGGTGGGATTTTTAGTGGGAGGTGAGTACTTGGTGGGATTTTTAGTGGGAGGTGAGTACTTGGTGGGATTTTTAGAGGGAGGTGAGTACTTGGTGAGATTTTTAGTGGGAGGTGAGTACTTGGTGGGATTTTTAGAGGGAGGTGAGTTCTTGGTGGGATTTTTAGTGGGAGGTGAGTACTTGGTGGGGTTTTTAGAGGGAGGTGAGTACTTGGTGAGATTTTTAGTGGGAGGTGAGTACTTGGTGGGATTTTGGTTAGGATGAGTACTTGGTGGGATTTTAGTGTTTTTTTTCTGGGAGGTGATTGTTGGTGGGTTTCAGTTGATTGAGTAATTGATGAGTTTTTTTTTGTTGGGTAGGTTTGTATTTTGAGGTGTGGGTTTATTGCACTTGCTTGTGTTAGTTTAGTGCTTGGTCGGACTTGTATATATCTGTGTTGATTATCGACGCTGAGAGTTCAATTGATTAAAAACGTGTTATTTATATTATATTTTCTTCCATTTTTAAACTAATGACAACCCTAACACCAATCAATCGTTCTACAGCCAATTCTAATCGTTGATTGGTCTAATGTTTCAGATACTGCGAGGCCAAAGGTCGAGGGCCCATCAACTGTGAGTCCATGTGCTGTGGTCGAGGGCACGACAACTTCACCATGGAGAAGGAGGAGCGATGCGAGTGCAAGTACTACTGGTGCTGCTACGTCAAGTGCAAGACCTGCATCAAAACGCTGAAGCTCAACATCTGTCGATAGGTGACACACTGGTGACCGGCTGACACACGGGTCACCGGGTGACACACTGGTCACCGTGTACAGAAAACACTGTCCCGCTGGGTCATTAATTGTGTCAGATCTGATTTGTTTCACATCAATGTTCAAACAGACTTGCTTGACAGTATCAGGAAATCATAAAAATACCTGTATGGTTTTCAACGACAGTTTGGACATAATGGAAACTGAAAGGGGAATAACTGCATCTTTTTTTTCGTCCTCCAGAAGAACTAAGAAAAAAAAATCTCCTGCGTGTGTGTTCACTTGCCTTATAAAAAGAACTTGAGATCATTTACTGTCATTTCAAGTTTATAAGAACAATGAGGAATTCTTCCTGTTAGATTATTTTAGTGGGCCTAGATTTCCTCCTGATGCACCATAGATAGCTACAGGAGATTATAAAGATTTAATACAGCCGATCAACGACTATCAACAAAGTTTCAAAGCATAACGTCAGCACCAGTTTCTTCTAGGTTTATCAATTTAACATCATAATTCAGTCTATCTGCTATCTGCATAATCTACCAGATATTAATGATGCAACTATTCTGGAAAAAATTCAACATTTGTTGTCTGTTTTCTCTTTTTTATATTGGTGACGTTCTATTAATTGTATCCCATTATAGTTAAGAAGCTGTAAAGATTTTGTAATTCTAGTACAATTCTTACCGCCCAAAAAATGCATTTAATCTCAACTATCATTGGCCTTTTAGACCATAAAACATCTAAAGGGATATAACTCAATATTTTTGTTACTGTAGGAGTTATCGGTTTTAATTTTTTATTGCTATGATGATAAGTAAATCATCAAAATTAGCATAATCAATTTATTTGAAAACTAAAATGAGTTTTTGTCTTTAACTTATCCGAGCTTACCAATATAATGGTTGACTGATGACTTTTTTCAATTACTTTTGAAAGCATTAAAAAAAATATTTCTGCTTGTTTAGAAATTAATAGTTTAAACATAGGAAGGAACATTTGGTCTAAAAGTAAACTAACCACTCAGGAAATTAAAAATGTTATTTTATGTATAAAACATGTTTCACTTTAATATTTTTATTTCTCTAACATTCAAAGGCATTATATATAAATACAGTGAATGTCAACATTTTTAAAAAGTGTTTAAAATTAATTAGGCCTACATCTTTATAGATATATATATATATATATATATATATATATATATATATATATATATATATATATATATATATATATATATATATATATATAAATATATATATATATATATAAATATATATATTATAAGGAAGTAATAATGTAGAAAAAATATTGAACCTACTCAGTTTGATACTTTTATACACTCACATTTAAAAGTTGTTTAAGAACTCACTCATTAACTGATCATTAATCATTTGAAGTGCAATTCTTAATATAGTCAGAACAATATCACTATAAATCAATATCTAAATGATATTGTAATATTTTTAACGCATCTGTCACACTAGTGAAGTAGGTTTGCTATATAATATTGAATTTTTTGTATGTTTATTAAAATTGTTTCTAAATGTTGAATCAAGAGTGTAATAAATATTTAATTTAAAACTGCATTAGTAAAAAAAAAATGTGCTTTTATGAAAACCTATTACAAAAACATGTTGAGATATCTGTTGTAAAATAATTTTCTTCTGTCGATGTCTGAGGTGTATTCTTACTTTACGAATATTTATCATCAATTTGTATTTATTTAAACAAGTCCTGTATCTGTGAATGAACATGTGTGTGCAGTGTGTTAAATATTTAATGTGTAATGCTGCAAGTAGGTTTATATGTATGTTGTAGGGCTTCATAAGCATGTCCGTTAATGGATGCATCTTGTATATAAAACTACAAAACGTGTAAAACTATGGGAGATGTTTTTATTTCAGAAACAAAATAGCAGCTGCATAAAATCAATACAAAACATTAAAAACTTAAAACTAAGGTAACCTAAAAAATAAATGTAAAACTTATCTTGTTAAAACACTCACATAAATTTTTTTTAGAAAATTAGAAGCATGAAATACTAAAATCTCCATTACAAATGATTTTTTAAAAGTTACTGTTTTTATTTTTGTGTACGATTTTGATTAATATATAATACTTAATATAGTTCCATGTTCTCACAGTTTGATTTTAGTTGTAAATATAAACAAAATAAAACAACACACTTGTATATTTCTATATTATCTAAATAATTACATTATACTAGTTTAATGTGAATTGTGTTATGTACAATTTTTTCTAACATTTTAAACTAGTTTTAAAAACATAAGTTCTGAGTTACTTAATAATTGTGTATTAAATGTCAAAAAAGAAGTCTTATTTTCTTAGTCAAATTTATTTTTTACCAAAGTAGTTTGAATACAAACTGAAGAAGAAGGGTTATTTGTGGGAGTCTGGAGTTAATAAGCTAATCTTCAAAGCACACTTGTGCTGTTTTTATTGAAATTTCGCTAAAACCAAAACACAAACAATTGTATTAGTCACACAGGTAAATATTAATAACAATTGGTTTCAAAATTAAACACCAAGTATATTGCCAATCAAAGTTTTTTTTTTCTTTTTGAGTACGTATGTGCAATGTCTTTTTCCACACATAAACAGGACACGTAAATGCACGGAAAGTCATTACTATGTGAATATATAGGATAATTATGTGTGTGTGTGTGTGTGTATATATATATATATATATATATATAAATATATAAATATATAAATATATATATATATATATATATATATATATATATATATATATATATATATATATATATATATATATATATATATACATATATATGTTACCGAGTCTATTTACCCGCAATGCCAAATGTTACCGAGTCTATTTACTTGTGCTATCTTTGACCAACACACAACATCAACCACAATACAGATACTCGGAAGTGCAGGTTTACATTTATCTCTTTATTAAATGAATCAATAGAAATGCTCCACATAGCAATGCATCAATGTTCCACAAGAATGCAATGAACCAACTGACCCCCACTGTCCTCACTAGTTCTCACACATCAGAATACACGAGTCCATGGTTCGGGCTTCCAAACCTATTCTCACAAATCAAAACACGTCTCTACAGTTCAGTCTTCAACTTCTGTTCTCCTTCTGTCCTGCAGTCTTATTATATCCCTCGTATTCGTAATCGTTTCTATCCGTTGCATCATAACTATCAACTCCGCACTTCTGTCGTATCGCTTCCCAACTACGCAGTGGCTTTGTATTCGTTATCAGTCCACACCACCTGCATCCGTTGCATCAGCCCAGTTTGGCCTTGATCGTGTCTTAGTTGACAGACTGTATTGCGTTCTTATCAATCGTCTTTAGTAACTACACTAGTTACATCCACCCCCGCCGTTTTTTTTTTGTGTGTTCTGAACCACAAACAATGTTTGGCAGGTGCACTTCACCAATGTCAAACGCAACACCATAAAAAAAAATTACTGTTCTACTTACTGTCAATGTCGTCACATTCATAAAAGATTGACAGTTATCCCTATTTCAAAATACTAAATGTGTCTACATCATATTCCTCAGAAACAAAATCACAACATATCTATTTTTCAATTTCTAAACATTCTAAAACATCAGTTAACAATCATAGCTAAGTTCCAAGTAATCTTACGAATGTATGCCTGCATAGCCTTAGCTGATTCTCCATGAGACACATGAATTTTACCGATATGCTCCAAAAGTAGTTTCTTGCGCTTGAAAGTTTCATGCCACATGTCACACATGTAAGGTGAAAGTTTTCTTTTGGTAAATCTTTTCTCACATACTGAGCAGATAAACATCTTCTGATTGGGAGATTTCCAATTCTCATGCACCCGCTTAGTGTGGCCAATAAGGGCTCCGAGTGTTTTAACCGCAGCCTTACAAGTATTGCGACTAGTAGATTTCCTTCTAGGCTCTCCATCCTCAAAAAGATCATAGTGTTCCTCAAGTTTTAATCTTCTACGATTATATATATCATCCTCATCATATTCATCATCTATTTCTTCTAGCTGCATATTTGTATTAGATCGTAGCAATTCAAGTTCATCTGTATAATTCTTCACTTCATTTTCTTTTTCTGTATTCACTGATTTAAGATTCTCAATAGAAATGTGCAAAACTTCTACTTCTTTTTCTTTATCTGCTATAAGAAGTGTATTATTTTTAACCTTCTTCATTAGTTCTAATACTTGCTTTCATAACTGTTGATTCAATAGCCTTTCTTTTTCTATCATTTCTTCTAGTTTGCCAACACTGTTCTGTTGTCTAATATTTTTATTTTCTTCTTCAGATAACAGACACTCTGAAGATGAACATTTCTCCTGTGCTTTTAATTTGCATGAACTTTCCCTATCCAGTTTCATGGTTAACATTGAGATCTCATTATTAAGTCTACCAATTTCCTCCTTATCATCATTTTTCTCAGCCAACAAATTGTTCACTTGAAACTTTTCAACATCCAAGTTCATTTCACAGTTCATTTTTTCTATTAACAAGTCTTTTGAATTCTTAAGTTCTTCCACCAAGGCTATAGTATCTGTTAGCTTAGTTTCACAATTCTGAAGTTCAGAACGCTTCAAATCTAATTTTTCTTGTGTAATTTGAAGTTCTTTTTCAATATCTGATAATTTCTCTTCAAGTCTTGTTTGAGACTCTTTCATTGCTTGTTCCATTTTGTTTCTTAAGCAATAACCTCGCCCCTGTGTAGCCTGGACCTGCCTTACATAGGGCGATCGTTTCCCCGGACAGTACTGTGCAATATGTCCGGGCTGTGAGCAGTACAGGCAGATTGGTCGACCGTCAGCCGTCCACTGGAGTGATGGATTTGCAGGTCGCGGCTGTCTAACTTGTCTATGTCTTGTCCAGTTTTTGCCGTGGTTATCTGCTGTTGACCTACTTTCTAACCTCTCCAACCGTTGGTCAACCTTATCCAGGTGAGCCAACAGTTGAGCCATCATGGTTTCCATCGTGCTGGTCCCTGTAGGTGGTGATTGTTTCTGTTCTGGCACAGAGATTTTGTCTACCGAGCAGTTCGATTCGTCCTCATACTCTGACCTGCGGATCGCTGAGTTCCTAACCTGAAGGAAGGTCAACTGTGGGTCCTTGTACACCTTCACTTTCAAATCTCTTCTTAAGATAGGGGTTGCTAACCCTTCGATAAAATGATCCCTCAGCAGGCGCGCATCAATGTCGGGTGTTTTGCCTTTTACAGCGTCAAAGGCCCTGTTCATTCGGTGTGAATATTCCATCAAACTCTCCGCCAGTCTCTGCTTTAGACCTACGAACACTGATAGCAGTTGCGATCCCAACCGTCTCTCCCCAAAGGTCTCCACAATTAGATCTAGCACCTTATCTGGATCTGTTTGGAGGGCTTTATCGTGGCATTTGACCTCCGCCCTAACCGTCTCCCCTATACTGCTCATCAACAACCTTAATCTTTCCTCTGGTGACATGTTTCTCGAGGCCCAGGCAGCTTTGACCTCTTCATAGAATCTGTTAGTTAAGGTTGAATCACCGTCCCCATAAAATTTGTTTATGTGGGATTCTCTGGGCAGGACAACAATATGGGTCGGCTTTTCGTCCAAATTAGACATTCTAATTTTTTTTCAGGTAAAGTTTATCCTTAAATATATTTTCTTTGAATAAAAAGACCTTTCCTACCGTTTATGTAAGAATACTTTTCCCTGTTCCTGATTGTCCGAATTCACACACAAAACACAGTTATTAACCAGGTTGACAATGGGTGCCGCTAACGGCTGGTCTAGTTGAGTTCAGCTACTCGCAGCGCCAAATGTTAGCGAGTCTATTTACCCGCAATGCCAAATGTTACCGAGTCTATTTACTTGCAGCGCCAAATGTTACCGAGTCTATTTACTTGTGCTATCTTTGACCAGCACACAACATCAACCACAATACAGATACTCGGAAGTGCAGGTTTACATTTATCTCTTTATTAAATGAATCAATAGAAATGCTCCACATAGCAATGCATCAATGTTCCACAAGAATACAATGAACCAACTGACCCCCACTGTCCTCACTAGTTCTCACACATCAGAATACACGAGTCCATGGTTCGGGCTTCCAAACCTATTCTCACAAATCAAAACACGTCTCTAC